AGGCTGGCCTGGAACTCACAGAGATCTTCCTCCCTCTGCCTCCCAAGTGCTGGAATTAAAGGCATGTGCCTCCATGCCCGGATTGGTGGTACACACCTTTAATCCCAGCATTTGGGAGGCAGAGGCGGGCAAATCTCTGTAAATTCCAGGCCAGCCTGGTCTACATAGCAAGTTTCAAGTCAGTCAGAGTTGCATGGTGAGACTCGCATGTCAGAAATGCATATACATACATACATAAAATTAAGAGTGTAAAAAGCCAAATCAGCACTTCATAAAGTTTTGTAAATACTCAAAGTTCTTTGGAGAGACTTGGCAGAAAACAATACAATTGAGTTGCCTGATTCAGGACTTGATGTCCTGTAAGATGACTTGACTGGATCATCTGATTCCTGGAGGAATCCCAGAGTCTAACAGCCTATGTCTCAGAGAAGCAGTGATTTCTGCATGCTCCACCCAGCCCCTCCTCTGAGATCCCCCTGACCTTTCTGAGAAGGCCTCCTGTGAGCCAGCTGGTTCTAGCAGTGGGGTGGTAATGACTAGCTGCTAGCAAATTGTCCTGCTTTCCCAGAAAGCCTGTTCTACTCCTTTGGACTAGCCCCGCAGCCCTCATTCCAGGCTGCTGATCTTGGATTTCCCCTACTGTATAAACAAAACCAAATGGGAAACTACATTCCTGACAGAAATCTTTAGCAGAAGTATAAGAAAACTCCAGCATATTTCAGAACCGAAAAGTGACTGCACATGCATTTTCCCCTCCTACCTCCTGACACTTTGGAACTTCCTATTTTCTTTCTTCCCTACTTTCCTCCCTGCACCCTCCCCCACCCCTACGATTCTTTCATTTTTAAAATAGTCTTACATAGTTCAGGCTGGCAACCCACTATGTAGCTGAGGATAATCTTGAACTTCTGATCCTCCTGCTTTCACCTCCCAAGCTTGGATTTACAAAGTTTTTTATTTTACACTGATTAGTGTTTATCTGCAAGTAAAGGTAAAAAGTAGCCTATGGATGAATCTGGTTGATCAGGAGAAAGCACTAGGACACAGATAAAACTCCATCGAAATAGTTTATTAGCAAAGGAACACATGGGACAGATTCCCTTCCGGGCAGGGAAAATGTCTGCCCCGGGTCTGAGCTGGAGTCTTTTAAAGGGGGCAGCTTCTGCTTCCTGCAAAAGGCAGGAAGATATATTTTTTTAAAGTTGGGTTGGGGGAGGAGTGGGAGAGCGGGACTGTTAAAACCTGTTCTCTTTAGGGATCAAAGGGGAAGCTTGCTGTGTTGGCCAAACAGTGGATAAAAGTCTGCTTCTCTTGACTTCAAAGATCAGGGTGCTTATCAGCTTGGTTCCCTTTTCTCAGGAGCTTGAGAAGTCCTTGAGACCTGGTTGGTGAGGGGGTGGGGCTATCTGAACCTTAACATGTACCATGGTGTGGGTGTGGATGTCAGAGGACAGCTTTCAGGAATTCGTCCTCTAGAGCCATATGGGTTCTGGGGTTTGAATTCAGACTGGCAGCCACTGCTGTTACCTGCTGAGCCATCTCACTGGCCCGTTTTGCTTGTTTATTACCATCACATCTAATTTATACTGGAGGTAGAACCCAGGGATTAGTGCATTCTAGGCAAACACTCTACCAACTGAACTATTCTCTCTGGTCTCACTCTGTATCCCAGGCTTGCCTAACTCCTGCCTTACTCCTGGGTGCTGGAATTGGAAGTTAGTGCCATATTACTGCCATTTTCATTAGCTTGTTGGAATAACTGTCTTCCCCATATTGCTTAGTTTTGTGGTTTTTGCACATGGATTCCTAGGGGTGGAAGGCCTTCTGGCAGACTGGGTAAATTAAGAAAGCTGGTCTAGCCTGGCATAGTGCCACATGCCTTTAATCCCAGCACTTGGGAGGCAGGTGGAGGTAGATCTCGATGAGTTGGAGGCCAACCTGGTCTCCATAACGAATCTAGGCCAGCTGGGGCTACAGGGAGACCCTGTCTCAAAAAGACCAAAAACCAACCAACCAATCAAAAAACGGAAAGCTGGTCCAACCAGGCAATGTGGAAGTGCACACCTTTAATCCTGGTACTCAGGAGGCAGAGGCAGGGCAATCTATGAAAGTGAGAACAGCCTAGTTTTACATATAAGTTTCAGGCCAGCTGGGGTTACAGGGAGAACCTGTCTCAAAAAGACTAAACACCAACGAAACAATCAAAAAACAAAAAGCTGGTCCAACTGGGCATGTGGAGGTGCACCTCTTTAATCCTGGTACTCAGGAGGCAGAGGCAGGACAGTCTATGAGAGGAACAGCCTAGTTTTACATATAAGTTTCAGGCCAGCTGGGGTTACATGGAGACCCTGTCTTAAAAAGACCAAACAGGGGCTGGAGAGAATATTTAAAAAAAAAACAAAAACAAACCAAGCAAACAAAAACAAAAAAGCTGGTCCAGGCCAGCCATGGTGGCACATGCCTTTAATCCCAGCACTTGGGAAGCAGAGGCAGGTAGATCTCTATGAGTTCAAGGCCAGCCTGGTCTACATAGTGAGTTCCAGGACAGCTGGGGCTACAGGGAAACCCTGTCTCAAAAAGATTAAAAAAAACAAAACCAAAAACAAACTGGTCCAAGGAACTCCTTGTGAATGAACCAACCCTGGGTCTGCTCAGATTTCTTCTTATAAAATTCTCTTATCTAGGGTTGGAGGCTAAGAGCACTGGCTCTTGCAGAGGACCTGGGTTCAGTTCCTAAGACCCACATGGCAGCTACCATCAGTAATTCCAGTTCCAGGGAATCCAACAGTGCCCTCTCTGGCTTCTGCAGGCATTGTGCCCACATAGTATACATATACCCAGTTAAAACTCATACACACAAAAATACAAATAAATAAGTTTAAAAATTGTCTTATCTAAACATATATGGTTGCAACTGTCATAAGGAAGAAGAAATTCTTTTTTGGGTGGTTCCCCCTCTCTATTTTAAGAAGCCCAGGTAGATGACCTTGAACTCCAGATCCTCCTGTCTCTACATCAAGTGCTGTATTATGTAGTCTATGCCATCATGTCCTTGCCTCATTTTCCTTTTCTGTCAACAGTGACAGTTACATGAGGAACTCCAAGAAAGTAGTTTGAAAAACTAGAATCCTTACTTCCTGGAAGTACAACAGGCACTTAGAAGCTGCTTTTGCTAAAAAACCATTGACTTCTCCCTGGGGCCCAAAAGGTATCTGAAAAGCAGGATGAAGCCTGGCATTTCTGCCTTCGTTTTGTATGATTACTTTAGGTCAAATTCCTGGATAACTGTACATAGGAATATTAATCCCTTGAGTGTCTACCTAAACTTATCTGGTCCTCCTTCAAGCCTACAGGCAGAAAGAGTGACTGATGCATCTGTCAGCTCTTGAATACTGCTAAAGATGTTCAGTCACAAGACAGACATGACCCACCCCGCCCCCCACACCCATAAGGAACAATTGTCCATAATGGTGAGGCTGCATCTGGAGTAGGAGTAATCATCTGAGAACCAGCTTGTTCCCTCAAGTTATAAGGATTTCTTTGGACCACTGTACAGAATTAGAACTGAGACACTGATGCGCCAGTCTACACACCTTGATCAGGGATGCCTCATTATGAATCTCTGCCCTCCTGCCTGGATTTTTCATTGATTTAAGCCTAAAGTTCATGTCAATACTCCAGAAGATGGGTTTGGGGGGAGGGTGTCACTGGACCTCTTTACCGGTCCCTCGTCCCAATGTGGCCACATTAACTCTCTGCTTTTCACCATTACTTGCCGTTTTAATTGGCATATTAAGGCCAGGTGACAGAGCCTTGTTAGGCTGAAGTACAGGGCTTTTGACCAGGCCGTCCTGTCCCCCAACAGGTGTCACGGCATCCACACAAAGCCCTCTCGTATCAAATTGGTCTCCATCTGACCAGCCCTTGAGAATCTTCTGGAATGGCCTGTCTCCTGGTGCAGAGTGAGAAGCTGTCATTAATTGACCCCAGTGACTCCTATTTTGAGTTTTCTTTTATCTTCGTGTTTTGTTGTTTTGGCTTTTGAAGAAGTCGTAACAGCCATGTCCTCGTGGCTTCAGGAGGGCCAGCCAAGTCGTCCCAGTGCTCAACCGCCATCTTCTACAACGCTGGTCGCCTCAGCCCTCCTTCCCAACGCAGCTTCAAGGACAGCCCTCCTGGGACTCCTGCAACCGGAACTGCTGCTTCGGAAACAAACGAGCCTGGACACTGGTAGGGGTCCGTGCAACGCCCAGAAAAGAGGCCGCCGACATCCGCACAGCCCTTCTGGAGCGCTTAGGCAGTGAGAGCATGCGCCCACCAGCCAGCTAGCCAATGAGAGTAAGGCACCGTCGCGGATCAAAACATACTGTCCTATGACTGGGCGAGATTCCTGCCAATCAGGGCGGAGCCGCGAGGACCCCAGCCAACAGCAGGAAGCACGCCGGCCGGTCCTCCTGGATGCTAGCAGGGAGAGCCTACTTGGGCTGAGGGAACACCGCCCTCCCGTCGCGTTTTGGACCATCTTACCGGGCGAGTTTAGGGAGTGAAGCGCGTGTCCGTTATCTAGAGAACCAATCGCAGGGGAGCAGGTCAGCAAGCCTGCTGCCAGTGATAACTAGCTCAAGGGTCGAACGTGTTTCCCCTATGATTGGACAGTGCACCTGCCAATCAGGGCGGAGACAGCGAAGACTCAACCAATAGTAGGAAGCGGCCGGTTTGGATCTGCCACGCACAAGCAGGGCAGTGGTTGCTGAGGGAGAGCAAGTCCACGCAGAGGGAGCCTCCGCCCTCTCGCTGCGCCCTCGACCAGGCCGGGTAGCGCGCCTCCGTTAGAAAGCCAATCAGACTGGGGCATGCCCGCAGCCGGCTACCAATGGATAACCCTGCTCTATGGTCGAACTTGTTTCCCCTATGATTGGATAGTGCACCTGCCAATCAGAGTTGAGCCAGCGAAGGCTTGGCCAATAGCGAGAGGCGGCCGGGTCCGGCTTTGCAGCGTAGGATCTGCGAGGTGGTCACTGAGGGAGCTGCTTCCCGGCTTAGGGAACCACCGCCTTTCGGCCACGCCACAAACTAGCCGGGCCACGAGCGTGCCCCGTTAGTCGGAGAGCCAATCAGAGACGGGGAGGTCGTGGCCATTCTGGTTTAGGGGGAACGCGTTTCCTCTGTGATTGGGTAAGCTTCCTGCCAATCAGGGCGGAGCCAGCGAAGGTTCGGCCAATACAAGGAGGCGGCCGGGTCAGGCCAGTGGCGTACTGTGGGCTCGGGTGGTCGTTAGAGGGTTTGAGTAGCGGCTGAGGGGAGCAGTCGCCGTCCGTCCTTTGCGCAGGCTCTCGGCGTCTCGCGTCTGTCGCTGGCCGGTCGCGTCATGTCAGCCGCTGCTTGGCTCTAGTTGCTGAGGTCGCCGCCCACCCGCCTGCCCCAAGCCGCGCCCACCGCCCAGAGCCAGAGGGATGGTAGTAGTCACGGGGCGGGAGCCAGACAGCCGTCACCCGGACGGTGCCATGTCCAGCTCCGACGCCGAAGACGACTTTCTGGAGCCGGCCACTCCGACGGCCACGCAGGCGGAGCACGCGCTGCCCCTGCTGCCCCAGGAGGTACCTGGGACCGAGTGATGGGGCACGGGAGGACGGGTGGGAAGTGAGGAGAGGCGGGTGCTTGTAGAACTGACCCTAGGAGGTGAGCCCCCTGAGGAGCTATCCAAGCCTGGTACCACACCTGCCCCACGTGTGTCCTCCCTGCACGGGGTCACCTGCACTCCATGTTCCTCCTAACAATACTCACTGGCCAGCAGAATGTTCATTTCCATTCCTGTATCCCATAGCCCACCTTTACCATCTGGAGGTGAGGGGCAGGCACTAAGGGAGAGGTGGACCCCGGACTCCCCCAGACATGATAGCTTGTTCCGGACAGTCCAGAAGGAGGTCCTGGGCTGGCCAGAGCCCCCGAGAGGGTGGGGTAAGAAGCTATGTGCAGATAAGAAGCTAATCATCCTTAGACCTGTATGGTGCCTTGAGTGAATTAGGAGAAAGACATACACCTGGGTGGGCAGACCACTGTCATCCAGGTGCTCTACAACCTATATTACCACATGGGGCAGTCTCGTTTGCTAGGTGGACCAAGGGGAGTAGTAAGAGCATCATGGGGCAAAGAAGACAGAATGAGAAAGGGCATCTTAGATGACAAATTCAGGAAACGGAAGGAGGGTGATAAAGGCTTGAACTCGAGTAGAGATGATGGGATTGGGATCCTCATTCACCTATTGTACTGTGATACATTTTGGCTTCACTGGTGGTACTTTGTGTGTGTGTGTGTGAGAGAGAGAGAGAGATTTAAACTGAAGAACGTTCGAGATTTAGCTATTTAGATGAGAGAGAGAGCAAGAGCGAGAGAGAGAGAGAGAGAGAGAGAGAGAGAGAGAGAGGAGAGAGAGAGACTATTAGCAACTGAAACGACCCTCAGGAAGATGAATTCTGAAGTGGCAACTCAGCAGACACAGGTAGTGAATAATGGACAGAGCTGCTCAAAGCTGCAGGCTCTTGGCAGCAGAGAGTGTTGTGTTAGGGTTGGAAGACCTGAACTGCCAGCATTGTGGGAAACTTGTGAAAATAAGCAAAATTCTAGACATAACTCTGCAGTCAGGGAAAAGAGCCAATAGAGACACAGTGGTGCTATTTTTTATGCACTGTCATTGGGCAAAAGATGTAGTTTGAGGGAAAGGGCATACAACCCCATAGGCTGTAGGCCAAGTGTTCAGTCTCAGCTTTTCTGTGAATCATATCCTTCCATGTGAGCTCTAAAACTGTTTCCAGTTACCTTTTCCTTCTTTGTTTCAGTCTTCTCATCTCACATATGGAGCAAAGATGTGGATTGTATGAAGTAGCCATTGAAAAAGTTAGAACTCCAGAAATGTAAAGCATTATGCCCAAACAATATTTGTTGTGCCTTGACACAGACATACAGTAGATTGAGAGTTCCTGTAGAAAAAGCAGAAGGTATTTCCATGTACTGTGGGTGCAAAAGAGTTGAGTACATATGTACACAGAATTGTACATTCTGTTTCATTCTGTGAATTTTAGGTCTTTACTGTAAGGCAGGCATTAGGTAAGTTTTTAATGTATTTGTGTCTACCCTCTTTTTTTGACAAATGATGTGAAAGCTGGGAAAAGGGATTGTTCAGATAAATTTATAGGTTTTGTCATAGCTAGGGTGATGTCATAATATCGAAAAGAACGTGCTGGAATAAGATTTGTGCTGGGATAAATTTTAGTTGGTCTGGAGGCAGTTTGTGGGAAAGTTAGTGCTGGCAAGATTTCTTTCAGATATAGTTTGTAGAAACCACAGCAGTGAAAGGTTAAAAAAAATTCTTGAGCTTTTCAGGGAGAACCTTGAACTTTCCAAGGCTAATCTTTGCTCTTCTTTTCCTAACTTCACCTAGCCCCTGCCTCCAGGACCTTCACTCTACAGATTAAGTAGGAGGGGAATGGAGTGAGGATTGGGGGTGCTGAGAGTATAGTTCAGCAGTAGAGCTCCTGAATAGCATGGACAAGTGCCTGGGTAAGAAGAAAGGAATGAGGATTGGATGCCTGGATGTATTCAACAAACAGCTATTGAGCTCTGATGTGAACAGGTTCACAGCTGGCAAGCATAAAGGGTCTCCTGCCCTTGGGATGCTTGGCATGTAGTAGAATTGATTGACAGAAAAAAATGATTGCCAATGTATTGTGCTAGGTGCCATAATAGAGATTGTGGCATGTAGGGAAGGCACAATGGAAGAGTATGTAGTCTTTTGGGGACACATGAAAGAGGACAGAGCAGCAATGATCACAATAGAGACCCTTAGAATGAATGGATGCTGCTAAGCCACGTGGTACTTTGGTGTGAATTAGGAAAAGGACACACACCTGGGCTGGCAGACCACTCATCCAGATGCCCTTATTGGGTGAACAATCTATACCACCACATAGGGAAATTTTATTTGCTAGATGGACAGAGGGAGAGTGATAAGAGCTTTTGGGGCAAAGAAGACAGCATAAGCAAGGGCATGAATATGATAAATTCAGGAAATGGAAGGAGGACAATGAAGGCTTGAGCTCTAGAGCAAAGATTGTAGGATTGGGATGAAGAGAGCTGATTTAATGAGTAGGATTTGGTAATTGATACTTGAGGGAAGAGGAAGGAGAAAAAAAGAAAATGAACAGGTGGATCCCTGGGTTTGAGGATTAAGTGAGTGAATGGTGTCATACTAATTAGACCAGGAAGACTGACTATGTAGATCAGCCCCAGCTCTTATACCCCCACCAGCCTGAGAGCTGTGGTGGTTCTTTCCAGTTTCCTGAGGTTGTCCCCCTTAACATTGGAGGGGCTCACTTTACTACACGGCTGTCTACTCTGCGTCGCTATGAAGACACCATGCTGGCTGCCATGTTCAGCGGGCGGCATTACATCCCCACGGACTCCGAGGGCCGGTACTTCATTGACCGAGATGGCACACACTTTGGGTATGTCTCTTCCTCTATAGTCAACTCCATAGTCCTAGCAAGTGAGTAATCTGGGTTTGGGTCTGGTGATTGGCATCTCCCATAGTACCGGAGGAGATATCCTAATGGTGGAATTTAATAAAAGTGTTTATTGAATTGGATTAAAATGCTTAGTTGCTTTGCCAAAGGAGATAAAGATAAGAGAAATTCTAGTAACACTAGCTAGGTGTGATAAACTTCGATCCTGTGTAGTTTGAGGCCTTGGATGTCGTCATAGATATGGAAAGGAACAGGTATGAACTCAACCTAGAGTCATGGAATATCTAAAACGTCTTGAAGAAGACCTTTACATCTAAATTCTGGTGTTCAGTATTGCCGTGCAAGCTGGGCATGGTGGCACACCCAGCACCTGTGAGGTGGAGACAGGAGGATTGCAAGTTCAAGGCCAACTTGGGCTACACAGGGAGACCCTGTCTCAGTGCTCTCTCAAACAACAACAAAACCCTTTGCTGTGCAGAGGAAGCATGGTGTGCAGCAGTGGTTTTGAGGCTTCTTGCCATAGTTGAAAACAAAAAGAAGGGTTGATGATGTGTTGCCATCCCTTCAGTTTTACCAAGAAAAGTCTCAAAGGGCTGGAGAGATGGCTCAGCGGTTAAGAGCACTGACTGCTCTTGCAGAGGACCTGGGTTCGATTCCCAGCACCCACATGGCGGCTACAAACTGTCCTTAACTCCAGATCCAAGGGAATTCAAAGCCCTCTTCTGACCTCCATGGCATTCCACGACACGGGTGCACTCACACACATGCAGGCAATACACTCATACACATAAAATAAAAAAATGTCTCAAAAAACATACTTGAAGCTCGGCGTGGTGGCGCATGCCCTTAATCCCAGCACTTGGGAGGCAGAGGCAGGTGGATCTCTGTGAGTTCAAGGCCAGCCTGGTCTACATAATGAGTTCCAGGACAGCTGGGGCTACAGGGAGACCCTGTCTCAAAAAGACCAAAAAAAAAAAAAAAGTTGAATTGTTCTTGGATTTTAACAATAAAACATGTAAAAACACAACTTCAATATATAAGATATATATTTTAGAGAAATATATGTGATGTTAATACCTTGTCACAAAAAACTTCTGGCAATCGTATACATAAGCAATTGTATCTCAGTCTCCTTGTTGATCATATGAGAAATAATTGTATCTGTCTTGTGAGCCTGCCAGCAAGGGTTAAATAAAGAACCTCAGAGTGATCTTGAAAGTATGACCTGGCTGAGGAATTCTCTACTCCTTCGTTATTACTCTGGAGATCATTAGAGAACTGACATAACCCTTGATCTTGAACCAAATGACCAGGGGTGGGGGAGGGGGGACTCGTCACTGAAAAGGTCTCTGTGCTGACCTCCAAGTAGGACTGCTCACATAGGAAAAGGGTCACTTTTTCCTCAGAAAGGAGCCTCTGGCCAAATAATTTGTTTTGTAGCATCTGGGTTTCCTCAGTGGGCTATCAGCTGCCTCTGGTGCTGAGAAAACAAAGTGTCACATCACTCTATGGAACTATAAAAAGATTTTTGTTTGTAGGCTGTTTGGGGGAGGAAAGTGCTGGCCCCAGCTGGCAGCTCCCATAGCACTTTTAGCTGGGCCTTGCCCCAGGGTTTTGTTTTTCCGAGCTCATAAGGATTTGTTGAAGATTCCCAGAGGAGTTGTGGGGCAGGAGAACAAGATCCATCTCAAAGCTAAAATACTCATACTCTATTGGCCATGACTGGAGAGTATCAAAGATATTGGCAGTATTGTAGAAAGCAAGATATGGTGGCATTCATGCTTGAGTTTCTGGACTCTAGCCCATATAACTGTTAAATGACTCAAAATAAGGGTTCAGGTATTTGTAAGGGTGTTTTTCTCTTCTGTTGCAGCTCATGTACATCAGCTCCCATCCTGATGCTGCTTGGGCCTCTGTCCTGGGGAGTTCCTCTTTGTGGTGCATTCTACTCTTTGGTCTGACTGCTCCTAATGAAGCCAGGACCATTGTGGTTGTGCGCTCAGAGTCAGCTGTGTCTGGACCTGAGCCTTTGCCAGCCGGGCTCCTTCAGCAAGGGTGTTTCTTAACCTCTTGGGTACCACTTGGGCCTCATTTATAGAATGGAGCTAGGCGAGAACCCACCCTATAATGTCATTGAAAGGACTAAATGTGTAACACATGATCAGTGGCTGACACAGATTAATATTTAGTGTTACCTGTCTTGTATTACTTATTGAGGTCACAGCTTGGTCTTAGGGTTTACTCATTCTCTTCCCATACCAGCAGATGATGGGCCTGATTACTCTGAGCACTAACTAAAGTATCTGAAGAAAATTAGAGGGACTGAATATATAGTTTAAGAAATTATACATGGTTTTACTCAGTTGTGAAACCAGTTGGTTCAGACGTTAGGTTTGACATTTTATCTTTATATAGCTACAGAATGTAAAAGGATATGAGACAAATAGAATATTTTTGTACTTATGGACTACAACTAATTTGTTAAATATGTACTTACCTTATGACTGAACATTTCTAGTATTTACGCAGGAGAAATTGGTGCTGTGTTCACAAAAGATTTTTTTTCTTTTTCCTTTTTTTTAAAACCAATGGGTTTAATTAGAATTACTTACAGGAGTATGGGCAACTTGCCAGCGGCCACATCATAGCACTGAAGGTCTTATACAGGAATGTTCATCATATTTTTACTCATAATAGCCCCAAACTGGAAACAACCCAAATATCTATTAATAAGAGAATAGGTAAATAAATTATCCTTCATATAATATTTATACATTCATATAATAAATAATAAAAAACAAACCCTAAACAGAAAAGAATCTACTGTCACATGGTGGAGAAACCTCAAAAATATCTTGTTGAAGGAAAGAAGCCAGGTACAAAAGAGAACATGCTGTATGATTCTGTTTACATGAATTTCAAGGAAAGGCAAAACTAGTCTGTTGATAGAAGTTGGAGTAGTTTCCCTGTAGGGATTGTCTAGGAAGGGCACAGAGAAAAACTTTGAGGGATGGAAATCTTCTGTACCTTGACCTAAGTAGTTCTGTGAATATTCTTCCAAAAGTGAGTTATATAATTAGAATTGGTACATTTGAGCTCAGGTATAGCTCAGTGATTGACCATTTGCCTAGGATGCACATGGCCTTGGATTCCATTGCTAGCCTTCCTCCTCTCTGGGAAGGTGTGGCACACACCTGTAAATCCCATCACTTGGATAGTTGAAGCAGGAGAGTTTTGGGTTCTAGGCCAGCTTGGACTATATGACTTACCTTGTCTCAAATTATACATATTATATTGACTTAATATAATTCTTACATTAAACTTTTAACTTTATAATTGAAAAAGTATATATGTAGACAGTTGTGGTGGCACATATCTATAATCCCAGCACTAGGGAAGCTAAAGCAGCAGGGTTTTAGTCCAGCAGCCTGGACTATGTAACACAACCCTATCTCAGATAACATATAAATATGTATGTATATTCATTGAATATTAATTATTATACCTTTAAAATTATAATTTTAGAAGTTTATGTTATGTCAGATATGGTGGCACATGCATATAATCCCAGCACTTGAGAGGTTGAGGCAAAAAGATCAGGAGTTCAAGGCCAGTCTTGGCTATATAGCAAATTTGAAGCCAGCCTTCCAAGAGCTGGGATTAAAGGCACATGCTATTATACCTGACTTAGTTCCCTTAACACCATGGAGGTAACACATGGAGGTATTTTCTCTCATTTTACACGAGGACACTAAAGCACACAGAGATCAAATTCTCTTACCCAAAGTTATACAGTTGGTGATCTGGCCCAGATTCTGTTCTCCTCATCCTTTTACTTCCCAGGCTCTTAGCTCCTTTTCTCCCTTACTGTTTCCTGCTCAGGGATGTGCTGAACTTCCTGCGCTCAGGGGACCTTCCACCCCGGGAGCGAGTACGAGCTGTGCACAAAGAGGCCCAATACTATGCCATTGGGCCCCTCCTGGAGCAGCTGGAGAACATGCAGCCTCTGAAGGGCGAGAAGGTGCGCCAGGCCTTTCTGGGACTCATGCCCTATTACAAAGGTGAGGGGCAGCTGCCTTGCACAGTTGGGGAAAGGGGTTGCAAGGTATTAGTCAGCTTCTAGGTCTTCACCAGCGGTCGGTGGGTTTTGGTTCATCCAGATTAGGAGAGAATGTTCTCTGTGACACTGGAACCGTTCAGGTTCTGGATGACTCCTCTCCTCCACCCAATCCCACTCTATACCTTTACTGGGGAACTTTCAGCCAATTGCATTTCAGGAGGACAGCCCTCATCCTGTTGGTTTCCTTTTCCTTTGGAAAATCATGGCCCTTATTGAAGCATCCTCTTCCTAGATCCATGGAATACTTTCCCCTCTGCATCCTGCTGTCTACCCTCCTGTCCCACCCCTGCCCATTGATGGGATGCTATGTTCACTTCTGTAGACCATTTGGAGCGGATCGTGGAGATTGCCCGGCTGCGTGCAGTGCAGCGGAAGGCCCGCTTTGCCAAACTTAAAGTCTGTGTCTTCAAGGAGGAGATGCCTATCACCCCCTACGAGTGTCCGCTCCTCAACTCTCTGCGCTTTGAGCGGAGTGAGAGCGATGGGCAGCTCTTTGAGCACCATTGTGAAGTGGACGTGTCTTTTGGGCCATGGGAGGCTGTGGCTGATGTGTATGACCTGCTGCACTGCCTGGTCACAGACCTCTCAGCCCAGGGCCTCACAGTGGACCACCAGTGCATCGGGGTGTGCGACAAGCACCTTGTCAACCACTACTACTGCAAACGCCCCATCTATGAGTTCAAGATCACATGGTGGTGAGTAGTCCTAGTAGGCAAAGAGTCCCATCAGGGAGGGTGTCCATCCTCTTGGGTGGTTCTGGGAGTCCAATCCCTGAGGGGTTGCTGACTGCCCCAGAACCTGCTGAGGTGAGGACCCAGTGCTGAGGCACGGAGCCAAGGGCATAGGTGCTGCTGCAGTCTCCCCGACTTGCTCTTAGGACTCATTCTGCTCTCACCTGGCCTTTTCTCGAAAGTGGTCTTCATTTGGAGGCCATAGGGTCTAGCGAGGATTTTACTGGAAGTCCAGAGAGGTTGGCTCCTGACCTTTCAGGGGAGCTTCTGCCCTTTTTAGAGCCATCTTACCGATGTAGGTATCATCACTTCCTCACCTGGCCAAGCATTCCTCTGCTCAGTATGTCAGTCAGAATGAGGAATGTGGTGGGGGATTTACTCAAGTAGCTACCCTGCAGCCCTGGCCAAAGAAGAAAGAGTGATTTTCCTCCCAGTGTGTGTCCCTTGCTGCCCCAGGAACAGCCCCACCTTGTCTTAGGATGTACAAAGATGCTTCCTGTGCTCCCATCACCACCTCTTGGAGATTAACCAGACCTACCAAAGCCACGTACCAGTTTGGCCTTAGAGAACCACAGCGTTTACAGTCCTGCCTCAGGGCCTTGGCTTCTACCTTACCTGCAGGGTTATCTTCTCACAGGGCTGGAATGCAAGTTCCAAAGGTTCCTTTTGAAGATTTCTTAAGTCAAGCAGGCAAGGTGCCTAGATCCTTCTTGATATGTAGCATCACTCTCAGAGGCTGAGAACACTCCTTGCTGCTATATCATGTTTTAGGATCCTATATGGTGAACCTCTTTTGGAAGGGATGCTATCCGTCTAGGAGCGTGTCTGTTCTGGGGAAGGAAAAGAAGCCCTGTGTAGGAGGCTCAGCTATCCTAGGAGCTAAAGAAAGACAGCAGCCAGCAAACCTCTGTGATCTTCTACATCCCATGTTTAAGAGATGGAAAAAAGGCCCACAGAAATCTGTTTCTACTGTGTTTCCTTCTTGCTCTGTCTGCAGTCATGGGCAACTAAGTCAGAGTATGAAATAACATAAAGCGAGAGCTATGCAGCACCCCACAGAGCATAGCATTTCTGGGCTGCATAATGGGTTCTGTGTAATCATGGGTGTCCTTAACTATTCCTGGACAGGTTTTGTTTGTTTTGTTTGTTTGTTTTTAATGTAAGGAATTGGTGGGGGTTGCTCACTGATCTCAGTCCTATAGAACCAGCCAGTTGTGCGTAGACAGTGGGGGTTAAAGGCATCCAAGTGCTTCTGAGGAATAGAAAGCCAAGCTCTGGGACCTTGGATGAATTCCTCTGTGTAGCTGGAGGGCAGTGACTTCTGGGGCCCTTGTGGAAACATTGCAGGGCATGGTCTTGTATTTGTGTTTCATTCCCATATAGGTGTAACAGAGGCAGAGACTGAGATAGAAGAGGGAAGGACTATCAGTCATCTTCCAAGATACTTGCTCTCTGTTCTCATCAACAAACAATGGTCTCATTTTTGGAGCTGTTGCCCTTGCTTGGCACTTAGCCCAGCAATGTGGCTCTGGCCTTGTTCTAACAAAAAAATTTCTTACTTGGTTTTGTTTTATTTTTGAGACAGGGTCCCATGGAGTCCAAGCTTGCCTCAAACTCACTCTACAACTGAGGAGGATAGACTTATACTCTTAATCCTCCTTTCTCCTCTACCTTCTCCGTCCTGGTATCACAGGCTTAATCCTATCATGCTTGGCCCTCATGTTCTTTTCTTTTTAGGCAGGGTATCCCTGTAGCCACAGCTGGCCTGGAACTTGCTACGTAGACTAGGCTGGACTTGATCTCACAGAAATTACCTGCCTTTATCTCCTGAGTGCTGGGGATTAAAGGCATGAGCTACTGTGCCCAGCTAGCCGTGTTCTGTTCATTCGTTCGTTCTTTCTTTCCTTCTTTTTTTCTTTCTTTTTCTTTTTTTTTTTTTTGACAGATAGACTCTATTCAGGAGGATGTCCATGTGAGTACAGAGCAGACAGTTAAGTCCAAGACCTTTGGTAATTGGGCCTTGGATCCTTCTTATTCACACTCTAGAGCCTCACAGTGTTTGCCAAATTAAAATCCACTCTTGTGAGACAGGGAGAAACTGGTCTGCTCAAATACAGGCCCAGAATGCTTGCTTGAGGTTACAAAGATGCTGGGTAGGAACATCGTCCTTGTGCCTCTTGCTGGAGATACCCTGTTTTCCTGTTCCCCTGTGTCATCCTCAGGGTGGTGTGTTCTGTGGCAATGTGGGAAGAGAGGGCTCCAGGCCACTGGAGCAGGCAGAGAAGGGACACTAGGGAAGGCAGCCCAGAGCTCCTTCCCTCTCCCCTTCTGTTCCTTCATTTTTTTCTCCCCTTTATATTTGACTTGATGTCTGAGGTATGAGGGGAGACCATGTACTGAATCCTCTTGCATGTGAATTTACTTTTTTCCTTTTTAAACTACAAAAACTTTTGTATTTTTAATCCAATGACTTCTATAATTTCTTGTGGCAATGGACAGTTTTCTTTGTACTAAAAATTGTATTATAATTACAGTCCTTCCTTGACTAGTGAAATAGGAATATGAAATAAAGCAATATATCGTGGAGGCTAGGATATGGCTCAGTAATTAGAGCACTTGCCCAACATGCACAAAACCCTGGGTTCCTTCCCCAGCACCACCAAAAAGAAAAAAATAGGAGTCCATCATGTGAAAGTAGATTTTTTCCATCTGTCCCTCAGCATTCTTGTCTCTAGTCCTCTCTGTCCTCCCAGAGCTCTTCCTAAAGGCCATCTCTGATGAGAAGCCAAGGCCAAACTGAATGTGCTACTGGATGTGGTGGCTGGGGATGGAAGTCCCTCTGTCCACTTAATCCTCCTTCAGCTGCAAATGCCCAGGCCTGGAGCAAAAGAGGAGTTGGGAGGAAAGCTTTTTCCTGATCCACAGGAAATATGTTCTTATGGAATTCTTGTGTATATATAATGTCAATGCCTCTAGTCTGACAAGGTTTAAGGTTCATCATGGTTTAAGACAGGCTAGTCGTTGATGAGTCAGATCCAAGTGCCCTTGAGCTTCCTTCCCTTTTGACTTTGGGCACTTTTTTCCCTGGACAGCATGCTCATTGATTGGGAAGATGAAAGATTTGATAGGACTGCAGGGGGCAATGCTAGCCACAACAAAATGCAATACAAATTAAAAATGCAATAGTAACAGAAGATGGAAAGCAAACCACCCTAAAACACAGCACATCCCAGGGGAAGAAATTCATTGTTAATGCTCTAATTAGAAGAATTATCACCATCTGTAACCTACCTCTGCATGTTCGCCCGGCTGCTCTGTGCTTCCAACAATGAAGGCAGCCAGCCATACTCTGGAACTTCCTATTTTCTCCCAGGGCTTAGGATATTTGGGGAACTGTCTCTGTCCCAGGCTGATCAGGTTTTGAGTTGCTCATTGGAAGAATAGCAAACCCCTGCAAGACAAAGCAAGCGGGGCACACACTAGTGTGTGATCCTGAGCTGAGTCCTGACTGAGTTAAGACAAATACCACCAACAAAAAACTCCTCATACAGAGAATTTTTGATCCCAGGAAGAATGTCAAAATGTCCTGCATATTTTTAGCCACGTTTGACCCTAATACAAATGGTTACGCTTTCTTGGGTGCTCTTTTGCAGGGGCTCTTGCATGGAAGTAGTGCCTGTCTCATGATTTTTAAGGGAGTCTTTCCATATGGGAACCTGGATGGGAGAGGATTTTTTTTTTTTTTTTTTAAATTCTGGAAGAAGTGTGTATGAAGTGGAAAGGGAGGGTTGGCGAGGCAGAGGGCTGGGAATATGGGACCAGGTTGGGTATAGGAACAGGCAGGCACTTCTGAGTGTGAGAGGTCAGTTGGGCCCATTGTCTTCCTCTGTATAGTGTGGGGTTTGTGTACAAAATGTAACACTTCCTGTGTTCATTAACATACCTGTCTGTGAGCACTCTGGTACAGAGTCTTGCTCCCCTCAGATGACATTAAAATCAAGAACTAGAACCTGGGTGCTGTGCCTTTCTTTACAGACTTCACTCTGTGCCTCCTTTGCTAGCAAATGTCTTCATCCATGCTTCAAACTGGTGTGTTTGGGGATGCCACAGTAAAAAAACCTGACTCTTCCCCCAGCACTGAATTTCTCTGCTGACTTGAAGCTGAGGGGAAGTGGCCCTGAAAAAGCTCTTCTGGAGTGGGCAGCAGTGTATCCACACTAGCACCAGCACTGCTCTGCCCTTTGCTGAGAATGCTCCAGGGGAAGTCTGAAGAAATCTGTGTCCTGTTACCATTTCTTTTTCAAGGGAGAAATGGTGGCTCTAAGCATGTGTGAGCCTCTGTAACTAAGGCCAGGCCTTTGTGGAAATGGATGCAGTTTGCCCTTCCCTTGAAAGCAGAGTTACCCCGGGATTGATGGACACAGGTGAGTGTTGACATGCTGGGTGGCTATATTCTCCAGTCATTTCCTTTAAATCTGATTTGCCTGACTCTTAGCAAAGGCTCTGGCTGATCCTTACAGAGCGTTTTCCCTGGCCCACTGACTGAGCACACGGCCAGGATACCCTCATGATAGAGACACCTTACAGTTAGAAATGAGCTCCTGGAGGTTCAGGTTCCCAGGAGCACAACCCAGAGGACATACAGGATCAGAGGGGAACAGAGACCTTCCTCCCTCATACAGATCTGTGTCCTACCTCTGAAGCTCTGGGCATTATGCTGCCTAACCTGTGAGCATTGAAAGTCACATACTCTAGGAAGGAGTGTTAGAACAGCTTTAAGCTGGGCATGGTGGCACACACACCTGCAGCCAGGCCACTCAGGATGCTGGGGCAGGACTGGTTGAATGAAGGAGTTTGGGGCTAGTTCATGTAGTACAGACCACTGCTTTTTTTTTTTTTTTTTTTTTTTTTTAGTTTTTATTGTAGAAGATGGAGTTTATTATAGAATACTATTAGGCACATTCAAGGGTAAGAGTGGACACTGACTAAAGGGGACAGTGCAGAAGAGAACAGAGAGTG